GTGGTGCGACATGGGGGAGGGCGCGACGCCGTTTGTGGCAAGGTTCGGCGACGGCGCTGAGCTGTGGCGTGTGAGGGCCTCTAGCGTGCGGGAAGGCGAGGCGCCGCGCTGGAGGGGCGTCTGCCTGCCAGAGACTGAGCGGCCGCTGCTGCTAACGACCGTGTCGGCGTCGTAGGGCCGGGACGACTCGCGCCTCGGCGAGGCTGGCGCGGGCGCCTGCCGGGCGACGGCGGGCGAGGCGCGTGGCGGGCCCAGTGGGGCGGGCAGCTGCGGGGTTGTTGGCATCGGGCCCGGACTCGACGACACGCCGTCGGCGCGCGGAAGGTAGGGAGCCGACGACGCCGACATCAGCGGCACCCGCTCGTGGCGTTCGTGGCGCTCGTGGTCCACCGAGCCGGCACTGCGCGGCACCATCGACTCGCTGTAGGTCCTGTCCGGCTGCGCCGGAGGGGCGGCGTACCGGTCGCGGATGACCACCGGGGCGGCCGAGGCGCTGGTGTTGTAGGCGGGCGTGGCGCGGTAGCGAGTGTCGCCGTAGGGGGGGTCATGGCCCCGCGAGCTGGATGCCGTGGCGTACGACGACTGAGCAGCTGGAGCGGTGGTGCGGTGGAATCGGTCCATCGCGGAGCGGATCAAGAGGGTGCCGTCGGGGTCGTCGTAGTCGAGGGCAATGGTCTCGCCCAGCGGCACCTCGACGACGCTGCCGTAGGCGTCCCGATAGGCGTAGATGAGCGTGACGCCGTCAAAGGCGACGTAGTAGCGCTGCAGCATGATGTCGCTGACCCCGCGCTGGAACAGGCACCGCCTGCCCTCCATCTGGTACTGGCGGACGGACTCGGCCGAGCTGCTCATAGCGTAGCTGGGTTGGCGGGCGGGGGCGCGAGCATCAGATGCGGATCGACGACCGTCCATGCGCAGCGACGACGACGACGACGATACGGGCACGGCGGCGGCCGCCGCCGACGGCGAGCGAAAGTCGTACGACGGGCGATACAGATTGCCGTCGGCGGAGCCGCTGAACGTCGGATGCGGGGCACCGCTCGCTCCGGGCGTCGCCTGGAAGCTTCCGTGGGCGCTCGCGGCGGGCGGCGTCCTCGACGAATCCGAGGCACCAAGGGCGAGGCGTTGCCGGGCCGGCGTCTCGGAGTCGACCCTGGCCCGCTTGCCGGCGTCTCCGCGAGCGTCGTCGGCCTGGATGGCCGGCTGGAAGCTCTCGAGGTGCAGCACGATCCGCACGTAGTAGGGGCTGATGGGCCAGGGCTGGATCTTGCTGACGGGCCTCTCGGTCGAGCGCAGCGTGGCTCGGATGTCGAGGTAGAGGTCCTTTTCCGCGACGCCAATGTCTCGGACGCGCACCTCGGCCTGCGGGTACTTGCGCTCCGCCTTGATGCAGCACATGGGGCAGATCCAGGCCTCGCCATCCCACACGGGCGGATCGCCGAGGCCGACGCAGTCGGTGTGGAACCACAGCAGGCACTTGTCGCACGCAATCATCCGGGCGCGCTCCGGCTGGTGGCAGAGGCAGTAGATGGGCTTGCCGTTACGGTGCGCCCGGATGCCGATCTCTTCGCGGAAGACGAGCTTGGCGCGCTTGCCGCGCTTGCGCTTCTTGTCGTCCTTGGCCGGCGACGAGGCGGTTGCCCGGCTGGTCGATGCCTCGTTGCGCACGTCGGTCAGCATCCTCGAGCTCGAAAGCTCCATCGAGTCGTCGGGAGGCATCATGTCGTCGTCCCTGCCAAAGTCGAACGATGCGTCCTCCGGGATGGGTGCCGTGGCTGGTGGGCCGAGGTCCGGTCTCTCTGCTGTCGACGGCGGCTGCGGCTGCGGCTGCGGTTGCGGTTGCGGTTGCGGTTGCGGTTGCGGTTGCGGTTGCGGCTGCGGCTGCGGTTGCGGCTGCGGTGTCGAAATCGGCAGTGAGGGCGAAGCGTGCGTCTGCGGCGCCTCCAGGCTTGCAGGGGTGGCGGGCGGAGGCTGCGGGTCCGATTGGTGGTGAACGTGTGCGGGAGTCGCGGTCGGATGGGGCGAGGCGATCGGCTCCGGGCCGTTGGCCGCGTTGCCGTGGAAGTCGTCGGGCTGCTCCTCGGGCTGGGCGTGCGCGATGATCCCTTGCGACAGCTCGTCGAGGGCAAACGAGCCCTCGGCGAGGTACAGGTCGAAGGGGCAGCCGAGCAGCTTCCGGCACAGATGGCGTGCGACCCGAGCCACGTCCGGGTTGCGCAGGTCCGGCCTGGTGACCATGAACTCCTGCGCCACCTGCTGCAGCCTGCGGGTCTGCCGGAGCATCTCACGGACAATGTCGAGCTCGGCGGGCGGGAAGCGCAGCCGGTCAGGCGAGTACTTTGCCGACTCGACCAGCAGGGCGAGCCGCGTGATGGGCACTGATTTGTGCCCTTTGACCACGCTCTCGAGCGTCTCGGGCGCGCAGATCGGGCACGCCCAGTCTTCGCCGCCCCTGGGCACGAGCGACTGTCGGATCTTGAGGCAGTGGAGGTGGTAGGCGACGCCGCAGCCCTTGCACCGGACGTTGCCGGGAGCGTCGAGGTCCGGCGCCTCGGCCTTCCGGCAGACGCAGTGACGACCGGCGCTGTCAGGCTGCTCGTCGTCGGGTGCGGTGACGTCGTGCACCTTGTCGGCGAGCTTTTCGAGCTCCGCGCGCTTTTCGGTGTCGCCGAGGCGGCGGTGGGGCGCAAAGTGGCTGACGACGTCCGAGTGCAGATCGCCACGCCACACGTCAAAGAGGGTGAGAGCCATCTGGATCTCGTCCGAGTGCTGCAGCACCAGCCGGTTGGCCTTGCTCGCGCGCAGGACGCGGCGTGCCTCTGGCAAGAGGCCGCGGCGGAACTCCTCAGAGGGCGAGGTGGTCAACTCGTCGCCGTCGCCGGACCGCGTCACCTGGCTGTCGTTGAAGAGGGCGTTGAGCTTCTGCTGCAGGTCCTTGCCCTTCTGAATGGTCGCATTGAGCCTCTCGGCCATCTCGAAGCCGGCGGCGATGTCGTGCGAGTCATCTCGCAGCTTTTCGAGCTCCTCCATCGTCAGGGGTACGTTGCCGCTCAGCAGGCACAGGGCGCGGCTATCCCAGGCCAGCCCGTCCTCGTACCGCCGCTCGAGCTCGCGCAACAGCGGGCCCTGGGTGACGCCGCACACCTTTGCTTTGTCGAGGTGCTCGCGGACCTCGTGGCCGTAGAGGTAGGTGGTGTCGAGCAGGTTCTGCACCGTCTCGAGCCACTTGCGGCGCTCGATGAAGCTGCGCAGCTCTTCGATTTGCGGGGCGTCGACATTGAGGGCGAGGCCAAGCGTCAGAGTGTCCTCGCAGTCCCTCATCGAGACGGCGTCCGCCTTGTCTCCGTCCGCCTTGTCTCCGCCCACCGTGTCTCCGCCCGCAGACTCGAGGATGGCGCTCGCCTTGGCCTGGAACGTGCGCAGCTCCTCGGCGAGAGTTTGGAGCGCGGCGATCTCGGGCGAGTCAAAGTGCATCGACTCGAGCTCCTTGAGCAGCGCGAGGAGCGCCTCGGCAGAGCGGTCGACGCCGGCTTCGCTGGCGGCATCGTCGGGCAGCTCGATACTCGGCCGCGTCGGCGTCGCGTCCTCTGCCACCAGCGACCGGCGGGAGCGAGGCGCCGGGCCCGCCATGCTGTCGGTCCGGCGCTTGTGGTGCTTTCGCACAAGGAAGACGTTGGCCCGCTCGATCCACCCGTTGGCCTGGTTGACGAAGCTGCGGAGCGTTTCGAGGCGCTTGAGCGGCACCTGCAGCTTGTCGCCCTCGGCCACCAGCGTCCTGAGCACCTTGAGCGAGGGCCGCGGACTCGTGGCGAGCGTGGCTTCGACCCGCTTGACCCAGTTGCGCGGCAGGGCAGCGCGCTTGGCGACGGCCTCGTGGTTGGCGCGCAGCTGCTCGTCGGAGAAGCGCTTGCGCAGCACCCACTGCGAAGGCGGGTCGACCCGGCAGACCTCGGACGCGTGGACCAGGCAGGCGGGGCCCTCGGCGTTGTCGCTGACGACCTGGCTGAGGTAGCAGAATGCCTGGCAGAGCACGCACGAGTAGTCCCTCTCCGGCAAGTCGTCTTCCTTGAGCACCTCGACGAGGTCGGGCACCTCGCGCCGCAGCGCATCGCGCCGCTCGAGCTCGCGGTCAACCATCTCCTTGAGCGCGTGCTGCAGCCAGACGGCGGTGGTGACCGACTGGTTCTGCTGCGAGACGGTGACGAGGAGCTGGTCGTGGGAGAAGACCGGGCCCTTGCGGAAGAGCTGGTAGCGCTCCGTGGACTCGCGTCCGTAGTCGATCCAGTCTGGCAGCGCAAAGTTGACGGCCTCGTTGAGGTTGAGGCCCTGGTTGAAGCCGCTGTGGTAGGCCTTGGGGAAGGTGATGACGAACTCGTTGGCCCGCTGGTCGCACGCAAACACCCGCACCCCCTCAGCCTTGAGCCGCTCCGGGCTCATCATGGTCGTCAGGTGGAACAGCAGGTCCGGCGTCGTCTCAAACAGGTCCGGCGCCACCTTGCGCATGGCCGCCTCGAATTTTTCCGCGTCGGCGCCGGGCACGCTGTACCACGTCTTGGTCTCGCCCCAGTGCTGGTAGTTGATCGAGTAGGTGAAGTGGTCCTCGTTGTGCCAGCAGAAGGTGGAGAACATCATGCCGACGTAGATCCAGGGCACCGTCATGCCCGAAATGTCCGACTTGATGTACTGCAGCAGCGAGGCGGGCAGGATCGGCAGGTTGTTGAGGTTCCAGCCGTCCTTGGAGTAGGCGCTGAGCGGGTGCGTCTCGGGCGTGGGCAGCGCACTGCCGTGCGTCGTCGAGTGGACGTCGGCGCCGTACTCGACCTCGACCACCTCGTCCTGGCTGTGCATCAGGCGCCAAAACTCGCGCTCGATATCGTCCTCGGACGCGACGAGGTCGGTGCCCGGGATGCGACGGGCCAGCCCGTTGGTCCTTCGCGCCGTCGCAGCTCCGTCGACTTCCATGGCGTCGCCGTCGACATCGGCGTCGGCCTCCGGGTCCGTCGACGGGTCCCAGATCCGGTCCGGGTGGGAGCTCCACCACGCCCGCTTGAACGACTCGGCCCTCTGCCAGAAAGTATAGAGGCTGTGCGTCTCGCCGTCGTGGAAGCCGTAGTCGCCGCCCACGCTGATCAGGCACGAGGGGCAGAACCACTGCGACTTGGGGATCGCCGTCAGCGGCGGCTGCAGGCAGTACATGTGGTAGCCGCGGTTGCACTCGTCGCACAGCAGCATGTTGATGCCGTCCTCGCCGCGGAAGCAGATCTCGCACATCTGCTCCTCGGCGCCGGGCAGCACCACGATCTTTTCCTTGGGCGGGGCGCTGCCAGACGCGATTGGGGTGCTCGCCTTGCGCTTCCTTCCGGAGGCCGGCGTGTCGGCGCCCCTCGCGCTGGGGCCGGCGCCCGTGCTCGAGGGGTCGCCGCGCTTGCGGGAGCTCCGACGCTTGCCCCCGTTGGGCGTATTACCGGCGCCAGATCCATCGTCGAGGCCTTCGGCGGCAAGCAGCTCGGCGGTGTGCGAGCTATGCGGCTCCGGAGTGCCCAGGAGTGCGGTCGAAGTGCCGGTGGCGAAGCCGCCGTCCATGGCAGGGGACGCCAGCTTGACTGCCGCGTCGCCCAAGTGCGAGGAGCCCAGGTACGGACCGCCGATCGCAACGCCCTGTCCGACCGTAGGGCTGGTGGACGTCTGCCCAAGGCGCACCTGCTCCTTGGCCTTGCGGAGGAAGTCCTCGTATGGCTCAATGATGCGTCCGTAAGCCGCCTTGACCTGCGAGCAGAGGTGTGCCGACCCTTCTTCCGTATAGCCGATCTTGCGCGTCACCTCGGACCAGCGGCGCTGGCGGCACACTTGGTCGTAGCCGCCGTAGGTCGCGACGACCAGCTTGAGCGCGTACAGGTCGACCGCCCTGCGGTCGATGACGGGGATCGTGACGCGCTTGAGGCCCTGCTGGGCGTGGAACTTGTCGAGCTGCTCGAGGTAGTTTTGCGACGCACGCGCGTCGGCGGTCAGCTCGTTGAGCTGCTGCACGCGCGTCCGGAAGCGGAACGTCTCCTCGTCCAGCACGCATTCCGGGTTCCAGCCGACCGGCGGCACCACCTTGACGATGCCGTACTCGGCACCCTTTTTGCCGATCGCCTCGATGTAGCGCATCGGATCGCTGAACTCTTCCGGCGTCGGGTAGAAGGTGGGCACCTCCTCGAGGCCAAACAGGCGCGGGCGCAGGCGCTTCGGAGGCTGGCGCGGGGTGCTGGACCCCGTAGGGATGCCCGGGTCGTCGCTGCTCGAGCTCGCATCGATGTTCGAGTAGTTGAACTTGAGCGGAGGGGCGGGCTGCTGCCTGACGGCTTTGCGGGCCGGGTGGTTGGTGGACGCGGGCTTGACGTCGGCGTCAGCACTCGCAATGGCGGAGATAGCTTCCGTCTGCGGCGATGCGCGGGCGGGAGCAGAAGGCACAGGGAGTCAGAGACGGGATCTCCTTGATGTCGACCGTCAAAGCGGCACTGACGTCGCCGCCGCAACACACTCACTTTGCTCTTGCGCTCGGCTCGCTTGGCAGCATTGTCTTTCGCTGCCGCAGACTCGGCGGACGCATCGGGCGCCTCGGGCGCATCCTCGGTCGCGGCGCCGTCTTCGGCGCTCGGGCCAAAATCCTTGGAAGAGATGTAGACGGGTTCTGGCGGTCGTGCTCTCGGCGAGTGGTTGGTCTGCTTCGACGGGCTGCCACTGGTACTACCGTACGCGCTCGACTTGGACGGCGACGTCAATGGCGTCTGCGGCAGGGCGCTGTTCGGCTTTTTCGAGGGCGATGGGTGGCCGAGCAGCGCGGCTGCGAAGCCGTAGTCGGCCTTTTCGCTGCTGCCAAGCGGCTTGATGGGGCTGTCGGGGCGCATCGTATCGGCCGACGGGGTTTGGGACTTGAGCGGGGGGAACAGCTGACAGCGAGTGCGCGGTCAAGATAGGGTATGCCTCGGCGAGCCGGGGCTCAAAGACTATGGCAGTGGTCCGTGTGATCTCGGCAGCTAGGGCGTCTCCGAAATGCCAGCCCAGCGCTCGGAATGATTTTCTCCTTCTGGTGGTGGCGAGATGGCTGTCCGGATGGTGTTCCGGCTGCGCGCGCGGCTGATTTTCTACCAGCACGCAGCGATGTGGATCAGAAGCTCGTGCGACGGGCCGACTGGGTTTGGTTTCCGTGGCTGGCAGGGGCCGCTTGCTGGTCGTGACGTGGGCGAGCTCCAGGTCACGACCGCGGCACTGTGGCGTGTCGGCTCGACGGAGTAGGTCTCAGGGGGTCCGGTGTTTGTTATGAGCAGAGCGACACAGTCAGTGCGAGCAGAACGGGCCGCGGAGCATGGTCCGCGTGCTATGCAGCGGCGTAGTCAAAGTGGCGGCAGCGAGTTGGACGCCGACGGATGGCTGCCAGGAGCTGGATGCCGTTGCTTGGAATGAGAGCAGCCGCGCTAAATACGGGCGCCGTGCTGGCCGCCCTGCGACGTTTCCGGTGGCGAAGCGCCGTGTCGGTTTAGTTGGGTGAGGGCTGGGTCTCAGGGTGAGGAGATTGGAGAGCAGCGGTACGGATGCAGTATGCCGAGGTCAGCACCCTTGGCAGCGAGGCGCGATGGGGCTCTCGAAGCGGTCGCGGTCGCGGTCGCGCTCGGGGAGAGGTGGGGTGCTCTGATGTGATCGCGCCAGAGTCGGAAGGGGCAGGTGGCGGTGGGTGTGGTCGTGCGAAGGGCTCAAGAGACGAGGCTCGCTGCGTGCATGCGTGCGTGCGTGTGCTTTGCTCGCCGTCGGGTAGGGAGACGACGTGACGAGCGTAGGATAAGGACCGAGGCGGGATACGGAGGAGGAGAGGGCCGAGGTGGTGGCGGGCGATGATGGTGACGAGGAGATGGCAAGGCGCCGCGGGCCGGGAGAAAAAGGAGCAACGAGGGCTGCACGTTGATGGATGATGCTCGACAGGCAAATCGGCGGCGTCTTTGGGCGAGAGAGAGGCAGGCTTAGGGTGTGAGCGCGGGCCCAGCCGCCAACCTCGCCTGCCTTAGCCAACGGCGTGGCAGACAAGCGCAGCCAGGCAGAGAGCTGCTGCCCGCCGTCTGCCAGGCTGGCCAGGCCTCACCCGCTCGCCCGCCCACTTTTGCCCGACCGCCCGCCCGCCCGCCTGCCGCGCTTTCCTTGACAGTCGAAAATCTTGCGCCGGGCTGCAGGCCCGACCAAGCTGGACGAATGGTCGGCCGCCGCCCGCGCCCAGCCAGCCAGCCTGCCTCTCTCGCTCGCCCTCAGCCTCCCTGCCTCTTTGGCTGGCCCGCCCCTGCCCTCTCTTATTTTTTCTTGCCGCCCGAATTGCCCCCCCTGCCTGGCCGGCCTGCCTGGCTGCGCTTCCATCGCCCCCCCCGTGGCCTGTCGAGTAAAAAACGCGGCGCTTCCCGACAGGCCGCCTGCCCTCCGTTCGCTTCCACGCCCCCTGCCTGCACCGCCGCACAGCTCCTCGTCCCAAGCAGCCCGGGTGGCCCGACCTGGCTGCCTCTCAGCGCCACAGAAGTCACGCCTCATCCACTCAAGAGGCAAGCAGCCAGCGTGAACTGCAGCCTGAGCTGGGCTGTCCGATACGGTGCTGCCTGCTTCTCTCCAGGTGGCCTCCTGCTTCTCTCCAGGTGGCCTCCTGCCCGCCAAGCCGCCTTTGCCTGCCTTTTTCATGCCGCGCCAAAAAGTCGGATTTTAGACTTTGGCCCACCTGTGCTCGCCCTTCGCCGCGATCCTGGCGGCTGTACGGCCATCACGGCGTCGAGATCGAGATACGACTGCTCGTCCAGGAAACAGCCAGCCTCACCCCGTGCGTGCGTGCCCCTTTATGAGGGTGGGTGCGCGCTGCTGGCCCGGCCTGCCCGCATGCTGAAACCGCGACGGGCGAGGGATCTGCATGGCCGGTGCCTGCCTGCCTGCCTGCGCCGCTAGCACGCGGTCAGGGCGTTGGACCCTGAAGCCAGGAGCAGGCGGCGGGCCGGCTAGTAGGGCAGCGGCAGCAGAGGCAGGCCCTCGCTTGGCTGGCGCGGAAATCGACGGCTGAGCCCCCCGCCATCAATTGCGACCACCGCCATCCCCTCCCGCCTTGCCCTCTCGGTGCGGTCTGCCCAGGGCTGCCTCGATACACATCTGAAGCTGTCACCTACTCCTTGGATCTGATGGCTCGCAGAAGGAGGTTCGGGGAACAGCAACGAAGCCTGCCCGCGGCGTTGCCTGGGTCGCGTGGTGATGGCTGGAGACGAGGCTGCGTCGCGCACGTCGTCACCGTCCCCTTCTCCTACGCCGAACCTTGTCGACGCCCCGAGCACCTGCCCCATGCCGACCTGCGACCGGATTCGGGACCTGTGCCTGCGCAGCATCGTCTCGGGATGAGTTCCGGCGCGGGTGCTACTCTAGCATCAGTCTGCGACGCGCGGTGTCGCCGCCTGCATGACGATGGCTTTATAAACCATCAAAGCTGGCCTCTACCCGCTCCTCTGCTCTCTTCTTGCCCCAACGCGTCCATGGGCCCCTGTTCAACCCCTGATTTAGCACCACTCTGCTATCCCTAAGGAAACACCGCGAATAATGCTTGGCATTGCCTCCCTCTTCGTCGGAGCCATCGCCAAGATCCTCTCCCCCCTTCGGATTCAGCCACGTCGGTCCAGTAGTGGCAGGATCGCTCGCGGCATGGGTGCAGAGCGCCGCATACGGCAGCGCCACCGCCAACGCGGGCGGGATCGTCGTCTGTCTCGCCAGGACCTGTGCCCGGGGATGTCAACCGCCTGTTTGGCCTGTTCGCACGCAGCCACTAGAGCAGGTTGAGCAACCTTCCATCGTCATTGCAGCAGAGCTCGAGAGGTGTGACGCCGTGAGCTCACGCTCTTGCACCGTTCCTCGTGGTATCGGAGGCCCTGAAGCAAACCTGCACCAAGGCGGCACGACAAGCAGCCGTGCACATGTCGACGCGTTGTCGGCGGCTGCGATGGCAGGCGAGCGAATGGATGATGGATTCGAGCACGACAGGGGGAAACGGAACAACGATGCGGGGAGTCGGCGAAGTGCCGTCGAGCAAGGATGGCGATGACCGCATCAGAGGTAGAGACCCTCGGGCGTGCCCTCGTTCTTCCTGTCAATGACACGCTCGCGCGCCGTGGTGAAGTCCTTCTTGGTCACGCGCATCCTCCGCTCCCGTAGTGCCAGCAGTCCCGCCTCGGTCACCTGTGCGGCGTAGAAGACGAGCAAGGGCGAGCAAGGGGGGGTGAAGGTGTCAGCATGGATACGCACGCGCCATGACCGTGGGCCGAACGGCGACCAGCGACGCGCGACCACTCACCAAGCTCTTGATGTCGGCACCACTGAGGTCGTCCTTCATGGCGACAAACTCCTCGAGGTTGACATCGCTGTCGAGGTTCATGCGACTCGTGTGCAGGCGGAAAATGTGCCTGCAGACGAAACAAGAGCGGAGGGCGAGGGTCGGACGATCAGCATCACCGTCACAACGTTTCACATTGCGCATCAGCACGCCTGCGGGTACTCACATCTTGGTCTTCTGGTCAGGCAGCGGGAACTCGATCTTGCGGTCGATACGTCCCGGTCGAATCAGGGCCGGGTCGAGCGACTCGATCTTGTTGGTGGCCATTATGACCTTGACGTCGTGGCGGGTGTCGAAGCCGTCGAGCTGGTTGAGGAGCTCGAGGAGCGTTCGCTGAATCTCTCGCTCTCCTCCCGAGTTGGAGTCGTATCTGTCGGCGGGAGAGCGCGGGCAAAGCATGCGAGGGAGGCCGCGTGTCAGCGTAAGGCGGCCAAAGGTGCGGTGGGCAGCCTAGGCCATGCGGCCCAGTCCCAATCCGGCCACAGCCACTCACCGTTTTGTTCCGACGGCATCAATCTCGTCGATAAACACGATGCTGGGCGCGTGCTCGTCGGCCACGCGGAAGAGCTCGCGCACCAGCTTGGGGCCGTCACCGAGGTACTTCTGGATCAGCTCGGAGCCGACGACGCGCAGGAACGTGGCCGATGTCTGGTTGGCCACCGCCTTTGCCAGCAGCGTCTTGCCCGTTCCGGGCACACCGTAGAGGATGACGCCCTTGGGCGGCTTGATGCCCATCTCCTCGTAGAGCTCGGGATGTGTGAGGGGCAGCTCCACGGATTCCTGTGGGTCGGGGACAGGGCAGCGAGGAGGGGGAAAGAAGGGTCAGCGTGCTGCAGGCGGCGAGACCGTGCAAAGTGGCAGCCCGAGACTCACCTTGATCTCCTGGATCTGGGTCTCGAGACCGCCGATGTCGGCGTAGCTCTCGGTGGGCGCCTTGTCGAGCTTCATGACGCTGACCATGGGGTCTGCGTCGTCGGAGAGGACGCCGACGATGGCCATGGTCTTGTGGTGGAGGAGGACGCTGCATCCGGGCTCGAGGAGGTCCTTGTCGACGAAGCTCATGATGCTGACGTAGTACTCGGGGCCGGTGGCGCTGCTGACGATGGCGTGCTCGTCGTCGATGATTTCCTCGAGGGATCCGACGCCCATGGGGCTGCCGCGCAGGTCGTCGACGCGGGTGCGTTCCTCTGCATCCTTGTCCTCCTGCGGGCGGAGGCGCTCCTGGTTCTGGACAAACTCCTCCTCGAGAAGGAGGTGGTCCTTGATACGCTCAAGCTTGAGCAGCTTGAGGCGGCAGCGGGTGGTCGGGTAGACGGCGGGCAGCTTGGCGGCCGAGTCAGGGCCGCGCTTCTTCTTCTTGCCTACGCGCGTGGGCAGCGGCGGCTCCCACTTCTTCTGCTGGTCCTTCTTGTTGTCCTTGGGCGGACCCCGGCCGGGAGCTCCACCGCTAGGTCCCTGACCCATGCTGGCAGTGTCGGCGGTGTTGTGGCGGTAGTGGCGGTGGCTGTGGCGGCGGCGATCAAACCGGCAGTAAGCTGTGGTGGCTCAATAGGCGAGATTCGGTCAGGACGGTGAGGAGCGCAAGGGGAGGTGGCGGGACGAAGGTGGCTGTTGGACGTCGAGAGGGAAGGTGCAGGGCGAGGCCAGGCAAGCCAGGCCACGCCGGAGGGGGCCACGCGTGGAGGTCTCGACTGGCCTGTGATCGGGACTCGTCAGCTGCTGCCAGGCCGGGTCAGGCTAGCAGCAGAGGGCGAGCCCGGGGGCCTGCCCTTGTCACCCGACTCCCGAGAAAGCCAGCCCGGCCCAACAAGGTTTCCCATGGAACCCTGCTCGCCCGCCTCTGAGCCTTTTCTCCGCACCCCATCCTACACCCTACCCACCACCGCCCGCGATGCCGCTGCCGCTCACGACACCCGTCTACCTCCCCGGGCAGGAGCCGCTGCCGCCGGGCGCCACCGAGGCCGACCGCGAGCAGATGGCGCAGATGAACAAGTGGACAAAGACGGCAAACGGCCTCATGGAGTCGTGCCCCGTCAAGTGCGCCCTCTCGGGCGCCGCCGGCTTCGGCCTCGGTGCCTTTTTCAGCCTGCTCAGCACCTCGTTTGCCGTCGACGACCCGCTCCGGAATACCACCGTCGCAAAGGCGGGCGGCGGCACCGTCGCCGCCACCGAGCTCTCGACCGCACAGCAGACCAAGCTCTTTTTCAAGGAGACCGGAAAGGGCATGTACCGCAGCGGAAGGGGCTTTGGAAAGGTGGGAGCGCTCTATGCTGGAATCGAGTGCTGCGTCGAGTCGGTGAGTAGCAGCGCGGCCGACCGCCGAGCATAGTTGCCGCCTTCTCCCGGCTGACTGAATCGACGGCCCCCCTTGATCCCCTCGCCCTGCCCACGCCAGTACCGGGCCAAGAACGACCTCGCCAACCCCGTCATCGCCGGCATGATGGCTGGCACCCTCCTGGCGCGCAACGCAGGTCCCCAGGCCATGATTGGCGGCGGCATCGCCTTTGCCGCCTTCAGCGGTGCCATCGATCTCTAGTGAGTAGGCCGTCGCCCGCCGTCCTGCTCCTGCCGCGTCAACCAGGCTGACCTCTTGTTCGTCTCGCCCCTCTGCCATCCCTCCGACCCTACAGCTTCAGGAGAGAGACACCCGACGACGACTGAAAACACCCCAAAAGCGCCGCGGCCGCGGCTTCCTCGCTCGCTAGCCCCCCGCACCACTCCCGTGGCTCGCCCATTGTACTTTTAGACACCACACTGCAAACACCTTTCGCTCATGCCGGGTCGGACATCCGATTTTGCCTAGTCAGAACGGGGCCGGGGCAAATGGGTAGATTACAGATGGAAGGGCTTCGGGTACCCGAGGACGGGGGCTGGTGTACAGGATCGGGTCGGTGACGGTGACGAGGTAGGACGGGTGCTGCCGCTTTGACCCGCAAGGGGGTGCTTGGTGGGGCAAGGCAGAAGAGACAGACCGGGAAGCACGGGGATGGCGGCTCAGTGCCAGCCGAGGCGACGTTCGACGGCGCCGACGAGCTTGGCCCATGTGCGGAGGGACTGGTAGCGGAAGGCGGGAGCGAGGTCGCCAAAGGTCTGGGCCCAGAGCTGTCGGTTGTAGGCGCGGTGGCGGGTGGCGTTTGCCTTGAGCCAGGCCGAGTAGAAGGTGGCGAGGGTGTCGGAGTCGATGTCGAGCTCCGACTCCTGGGCGTTTGTGTTGATGGGGGCCGAGGCCGGGGCCGGTGCCGGTGCCGACTTGAGGGTGGCGACGGCCTTGCTCGACGTGGTGCGGGAGCGGAACTCGTGGAGGGCCTGGATGAACCTCGCGTTGTTGTCCTGCCAGAAGCGCTGGTTGAAGTTGTCGGCGCGGGCGGACCTGAGCTTGTGTGCGAGCTCTGCCTCTTCGAGGCGCTCGAGGAGGCGCTCAAAGTAGAGCGAGTGGCCGCGAGGACGGGCGGCGGCGGCGGCGAACGACGAGGCTGCCGGGTTGAACTCGCTGAGCGAGTAGGGGTGGGTGATGCTCATCGTGACGGCCGAGGCCGAGGCGCCGACGCTCGAGGGTGCCTCGTCAAAGGCGGAGCCGTACTTGACGGGGCGCAGGTTGCTGAGCGGGTCGGGCGGGCCCACGAGATCGGCGCCGGGCCGCGCGGAGAAGCGCGAGGAGCGACGAGCCGCTCGCGAGGACGACGAGGGGGAGGTGGCGGAGTTTGAGGACGAGGACGAGGACGAGGACGACGCCGATGCAAAGGAGCGCAGGGGCGTTCGCTGGTGCTGCTGGGTGGCGGCGATGCGGAGGGCATGGCGAGCCGAGGGGGCCGCGACGGCGACCGTAGCGGGTGCCATCTTGAGTTCAGAGGGTCGGCGAGGGAGAGGGGAACAGCAGTCGAGGCGGGAGTCGGTGGTCGGTCTGAACGGATGGATGCCGGGGTCGCGCTGGCCGTCCTTATGAGTGAAGCGAGCGAAGGCAGACTGGCGGAAGGTCGACGAGGTGGGTGGACAGGCGGAGGGAAGGGAAAGGTTGCGGCGAGGACGACGGCGGGGAGCAAGCTGCAGGAAGGCAGGAATGCGGTCGAGGTGAGGTCGTGTGTGTGTGTCTCTCTCTCTCTCTCTGCTGCGCGCCCGGAGCGGGAGGCAGGCCAGGCCAGGCGGCCATCAAGACGCCGAAAAAAGAGCGGCGCTGCCAAACCCGAACTGCCAGGCGGAGGCCAGACCGAGGCGAGCCCAAGCCATGCCGCCACGCCCAGCGCGGGTCCAACCTACCGGTAGCCTAGCCTAGCCTAGCCTGCTGCTGCTGCCGTTTGCGGGGTCGGGGGCAAAGGGGCGTGCCTGCCTGTCTGCCCTCTCGCGCGAGCCTGTGGAGCGGGCATCTGCCTGGCTGGCCTGCCTGCCCAGCAGCCACCTCGCGCCGCGGATGTGATCGCCCAGCAAAGCCTCGGGCCTCGGGACGCGGACGCAGGCACGCCACGCCTGCCTGCCGCTTTTTTCGACGCCGTCGCTGCCGTCGGTCTGCCTGCCTACCTGCCTGCCTGCCTGGCTTCCTCCCCGCCGCCGACTCATCCATCCCTCGCCCTCGCCACCACCATCACCCATCGCCCTCAACCACCCCAGATCCCGCTGAGCCATCGCGTACAGTGCCGCTTGCACCGCACCACGAAACAGCGCTCCGTCTGGTCGCACCCGCTGCCCACCGCGCTCCTCTCTTCCGTGCCCTCCATCCGCGTGCGGTTCGGTCTGTGCCTCGAAGCTAGACGGTCGTCAGCTCCCCATCCATCTCAAAGGCGGCATTTCTGCGTGATCCTGTCGGGCCGAAATCTGCTACAGCGCCACCCCGTCTGTTGACCCGGCTCGCTCGCTCGCTCGTCCTCGTCGTCCGCGGGCTGTCAAAAGATAGACGCCCCCTGTCGTCACCGGTGACCCTGCCTGGACTGCGTCTCCGAGAGCCTCCGGACCCCTGCCCGGTTCCCATCGCCATAGAGGCCACCCGCAAAGCTACGAGAATCCCGCTGAAGAGAACCGAGCCACCATGACAAACGCTCAGAGAGGGTCGCGCGTCGTGTTCGGTGAGCAGAGTGGCTGGATCATGTGGGGCGTCGGGGATCGCCGCGGCCTCGTCGCTGGGCCCCCCTGGCACGACGATCGTCGCCGCATCTCGTCGAGAGCCATCGTACTGACCTGGAGCCCTCATTTGCCTGCCTCGCCTCGCCCCTCTGCCGCGCCTCGTGCCTCCTACGCCACCGCAGTGGGCAACATCCCCTACGACATGTCCGAGGAGCAGCTGGTCGAGGTCTTTTCCGAGGTCGGCAAGGTCGTCGGGTTCCGCCTGGTCAACGACCGCGACACGGGCAAGTTCAAGGGCTACGGCTTCTGCGAGTTCGAGGACCCGGAGACGGCGGCGTCGGCGGTGCGCAACCTCAACGAGGTCGACGTCGGCGGACGGCCGCTGCGGATCGACTTTGCCGACATCGACCCGCTCATGGAGGG